AATAATGTACAGTATTTGAAAAATAATGTGTTTTTTGAACATTAAAGCATGTCAACATATTCTGTTACACCAAATACACAAAATAATGATCTTTAAAATAGCATCATATGACCCCTTTAAAGGAAAAGAGCACTTTTAGATAAACAAGGCAATCATTTTAAAGTTCTTAAAGTTCTTTATGAACTGCAGGATTGCTTGTAATAAAGATTTAAATGCAAAAGTAAAGGCAGTAGAGCTGACTGTTCATGTCAATCAAGTTTTGATTTAGAATGTTTGTGATAACGTAAAAAAAAAGTAGTTTAAATGTTTTGCTTTAGCAACTTAATATATAAATATAGAAGTAAATGCAGAAGTAAAAAGCATTGAATAATTGATGAAAGATTGTATTACTGTACTGTTCAAGGATTCAAGGAAACAAGTTTCCCTGAGCAATGAAATTCTTACTTTGCTGTCCACATTGAATGCCAAGACAGTGCAAAACTATACACACACATACACAAACTATACACACATACATGTAAGAAACATAATAATAAAAACTATGCTGCAGTAGTAGGAATATAGACTATGAAAAAATTGAAATATACACTATGTGTATCTATATATGCGGGTATAGAGTAGAAATATAGAATGTGAAAATAGAATTATGTATATAATTATATAATACCATATACATAATAATAGATTATGTATATGGTATCTAAATATGTACTGCACCATCAGAACAGAATTTACTGTGTAAAAAAAAATCACAATGTTGAAAAAGCATTTTAAGTACAATGTTTGGATTTAAGTTGTGTTTGTGGTAAACAGCCACGGATCAGGAGCAGACTCCTGTGTGATAGCATAGTCCGTGCTGCTTCTGTACCACACATGGACTACATACGCACTGCAAACGGAGTATGTGTGAACCTCACATACAGCTCACAAAATCAGGCTTGCACTGTGTAAGCTATTATGCAACAATTACGTGATTGTAAAAACAAAAATACAGTGCATGATCAAACACTTAGGTGAGATAAATATATAGTTTTGAAAAATGTCTAAAAAATGCCCCTATCCACCCCTCAAATGAAAAAAAGATCCTCTCACAAGAGTCACCTAAGAGAGGAATTCATTTTCAAAAATTTAATTTAGGCCCTGAATAAATGTCTAAAAATCTTGATTAGATCATCACTATAAATAATTCTACATGATAAAAAGAAGGCTTTAAAAAGATCGGTATCGGTGATCGTATCGGCAGATACTGCTTTCTGTGATCGGCGATCGGCCTCAAAAATCCTGATCGGAGCACCCCTAGTTTAAAATGTATTAGTAGAATATATAAAAATAACATTAAGATGGCTTAATGGATTAAAAGTATTATTCATTGTTAGCTCATGATGCATTAAGCAATATTAACAAACTGAAACGTAAGTGTCACAAATATATGGGCTTCCAGTTTAAGGCTCTATGGCAGCTGAAATGTACCAGTGTTATTTTCTCAGGAGACTGAAATGTTTTTTTACAAGATCTTTGTGAGTTTGAGTGCAGAAATCCAGTGCTTTAGACCAAACTTCTATTAGAGAATCCCTGCCAATATTATTGAGTTTGACTCTTTTCATGCACACAAGCAAACCAAGCTGTCAAAAGTTGCTCCGGATGGTTCCAATTTCTAAAAACGGGTCATGATGTGTCAGAACAGTGTTCAGTCCACTGGAAAAGTGACTTTTACTGGAATTTCACAAAGAAAGAGTGCTAGAGAGAGTTCATAGAAAGAGAGTTTATAGATAACTTTCTGTGCAACATCTATGATAATAAAGACAAATTTAAGGCAACATTCATTCAAAGTTAAGCTTTTCACAGACATGTGGCGCTCAATGTTATTGTTAACTCAAATAAAAAAAATATGAAAAATCATTTTTGTTAATTGAAGTAAAGCTGAAATAAAATATTAACATTACAGGGAAAACGTAAACTTAAGTGAGAAATGCCTTGACAACCAAATGAAACAAAATATGTTTATGTTGAAATTAGTGTCTGTAGCAAACAAACACTTTTGCTCTGCCTCGATGGATCTTGTACTAAGTCCAGGTTTTTGTTGAGAAATGTACTCCAAGACTGTATTTATGAAAAGATGCTTTCTTGCCATTACATTTAGCACTGTCTCATTCTACTGCCAGAACACAATTAACTATTGATTAATCATGAATACTAATGAACCCCAGTAATGATATTCTCACCAAATTATATTAGAAATCACCAAAGCAAAAACTACTGCAACTAGATAGAAATAGACTCAATCTGTTCTTGAGGTCAATGTTTATGTATAGACAGACAGATAACAAGGGATTGTTCAATCCCAATCCATTAAAAAGCAACATAAGAATAAAACACCGTAGTCTGCACTCAAATCTCCCTTACATTAAAAAAAGTGTAATATTATTTTCAGCTGCAAAGTGCTTTTTCAAAGAATACCTAAGAACTGTACAGTGGCACCAAAATAGTAGCATTATAAATAGGACCAATAAAACATTTAGCTATACTTTATGCAAGTATGAGTGCAGATATAAAAATAGAACAAAAAAAACATACTGTACAATAAAAGAGGAAAATTGTATCTCTGTATCAGTCTAAACAGCCCTTTATTTTTAACAAATCTGTACTATTGAATAGTGTAGGGTTTTTATCCACGCTGCCACAACAAAGTGACAACCACATAGAATAAAAGCACAATCAGTATCACCTATCACCTGACCTCATCTGTAAACCTACACATCAGGTGCTTTCAGAAAACAAGCACGTCTGAGGCTGTGAACAATGACAAAGAGGGAGAGAGAAAGCCGCTCACCTCTTCGGCTGTCCATGACGTATGTCTCAATAATGGCACTCTTTTTACAGATGTCATCGGCCATTGAGGCACAGCTGACCTCCAAGTGTTTCACCTGAACAGAGAGCACAAAGATAAGATCTGCAATAAACTGCCACACACACAAAGTGTGATAAACCTGATATGGAAGCACACAGGTGTGGACACTGTGATCACTGCCACTGTGACTGGCTTTAGCTTTAAAAATGCTGTATAAATTCAGTCAATATCATGCGATAGATTCATTCATTTTAGTAAACTTTGCTTTAAATTAATCTCACAACAATGTTAGTCTATTTAATTTGACTGAAAAGACATTATTTCAGCTATATACATTTTCTTTACGTATGTTTATCTGCTTACCCCCAGGGCATCCAAGATGTAGGTGACTTTGTTTCTTCAGTAGAACACAAACGAAGATTTTTAACTCAAATCGTTGCAGTCTGTCAGTCATATAATGTAAGTGAATCACAGGAATCACGGCTTTGAGAGTCAAAAAAACATACACAAACAAAACCAAATTAAACCCTGCGGCTTGTGAAGATACATTGATGTGAAAAGACACGCACCGGCTGAAGACGACGACGCAAACACTCTCAGGATTGCGCCTGACATTGCAGTGCATCAGAGGTAAAAAACGATATAAATACTGTTCAGTTTCTTGCACAGACCGATCGTTTCGTTTCTTTACACATCAATGTATCGTCACGAGCCGCAGGGTTTCATTTGGTTTTGTTTGTGTATGTTTTTTTGACTCTCAAAGCTGTGATTCCCATTCACTTCCATTATAAGACTGACAGACTGCAACGGTTTGAGTTAAAAAGCTTTGTTTGTGTTCTACTGAAGAAACAGTCACCTACATCTTGGATGCCCTGCGGGTAAGCAGATAAACATCACATTTTCATTTTTGGGTGAACTATCCCTTGAAGAGTCTGTAAGATTTTTTTAATGTTTTTGAAAGAAGTCTCTTCTGCTTATCAAGGCTACGTTTTTTGATCAAAAGTACAGTAAAAACAATAATATTGTGAATTATTAAAACAACTTAAAATAACTGTTTTTATTGGAATACATTTTAAAATGTAATTTATTCCTGTGATGCAAAACTGAATTTTCAGCATCATTACTCCAGTCTTTAATGTCACATGATAATTTTGGTTAATTGAAATAAAGCTGAAATAAAATAAAATACTAAGGGCCAGATTTACTATCAGTTTGCGCCAGTGCAAACCCTCATTTGGCGTTAAAAAACTACTGTCAGGATTTACTGAAGACACGCAGTGGGAAATTAGCGTTGAAAAGGCATGGACAGTTATTTTTGTGACTCATCTTTTTAAATATGCATTTGTAGGAGTTCCCTTTCAATCAGTAAATTTGTGGGAGGAGAGTATTTAAATAAATCACGCAACGCAATTTACCTACTAAGATTTGCGCTCATCAATTTACTGGTATTTGCGCCATTATTTTCACATGATCATTCTAATATGTTGGTTTAATTTTCAAGAAAAATGTCATATTTTGATCAAAGGTGAATATAGGGCTGCTTAATATTTTTTTGTGGAAACCATAATATTTTTTAAGGAATTTTTAATTATTAGAAATTTCAAAAGAATAGCAAGTTTAATTCATCCTTGATGAGTGAAAGTATTAATTTCTTTGAAAAAAAAAAAACTGACTATCCCCAAAATTCAATGGTAGTGTTTATGAGTGAAAAAAATAAATTAACTAAATAAATAAATTACATTAATAATTGAAATTAATTTAAACACATCAAACAAATGTATCAACTATTTTATATTCAATCTTAAGTTTAAAAATACAAGTTTCAAATTTTAAACAACCTTCCTATATGACATTTTGTGAAATCCAGATGAGTTATGAAATAACATGCTTAATGTGACAGGCACTGACATGTTTGAGCTTACAGTATTATGCCTCTTTGAAGCAGAAAGGGTGATGTAACTTGTCAAAGCCCTAACTACATATTTCCATTTCAATAGTTACGAACCAAGACCGATCGATTAAAATGTGGAAACGTCAATACCTGCATGCATATTTCATGATCCAGAGACACAATTCAGCACTTACAGCCCCCTATGGAGCACACAGCAGAACTGGCCGGGTGAAGGTTTGCTGCAGTACTGCAAACCTGGGCTGTTCCACAAGAGTTCAACTTTTCCTAGTAACATGAGACTACAATAATGGTTAAAACGTCATACCTTCTCCTCCAGCATCCACTTCTCCTGCTGGACCTCGGCGAGTCTCTGGAAGAGCTCACTGACCTCATCGTCCGAAAGGTCAGCAGGGCGTTGGGACTGAGGGCTGCTGGTGTTGGACTGTGGAAAGAATAACAAAACGTCACTGAAACATCTTTTTTTTTTTTACTTAAAGATATGCCGAAAAGAAAAGCTAATACCAACATTAATGTTTTAGCAATGGGGTTAAAAACAGCATTCACTGTACTGACAAAAACACTGTATTTCCTAAACTTGTTATATGTTCCACAGAAGCCAAAAAGTCATCAAGGTTGTTATTGTTAACTAAAGCTATTAAAAATCATTTTGGTTAATTGAAATAAAGCTGAAATAAAATAAAATACTAAGGGCCAGATTTACTATCAGTTTGCGCCAGTGCAAACCCTCATTTGTCGTTAAAAAACTACTGTCAGGATTTACTGAAGACACGCAGTGGGAAATTAGCGTTGAAAAGGCATGGACAGTTATTTTTGCGACTCATCTTTTTAAATATGCATTTGTAGGAGTTCCCTTTCAATCAGTAAATTTGTGGGAGGAGAGTATTTAAATAAATCACGCAACGCAATTTACCTACTAAGATTTGCGCTCATCAATTTACTGGTATTTGCGCCATTATTTAACACCCAAAAAAGTGGTAATTTGCGCTGCTCTTAGTAGAAATTAGATGTTGCGCCTGTGTTGTTTAATGTACACCTTGTCAGTAAATCACCCGTGGAATTTTCCCCTCCCATCAGTGCTTTTATTGAATTGTGCGGTTTAGTAAATCTGGCCCTAAGACTTAAACGAAAATTACAAATGTGCCTTGACAACTAATTGAAACTAATTTAAGTTCAAGTACTAAAGCTAAAAATAGTACTAAAGAACCAAAAGTGCAGTACTATTGTACTAACGTTACTAAAAACTAAAACTGAAATATAAATTAAAGCTAAACAGAAAAAAACTAACAAAAACTCAACTAAAACTTGAAATTAAAACTAAAAACGCTAAAAATGAAGCTAATTCAAAATAGTAATAAATACTATAATAGTATTTAAATAATACTAAAATAACACTGTCATGCAGGTTTAAAACAAGACGATAGTATTTTTTTTAAGTAAATTTATATGTTTTGTGAACTATCCCTTTGAGACTTCTGTAACTTAACACGGTGTCGTTCGACGTCACATGAAAGTCACAGGAAGGAATTCCACCAGTCCCATACGTGTGGTGGTCCTATTCTGTCCCTCGGTGTGTTTCAGGGCGTTTCAAGGAGCTGGAGACGATCCAATCAAATGAAAGTCAACTCGTCCCACAGACTGTCCCCTGTGTGTACTATTTTCATCCCATGAGTCTCATTTTCCCTCTGGCTTAAAAAAAACGAACTTCTCTTACTGAAGGTTGATGACAATTCTCCTTAAACTTATCTCAAACATGCATGATATGCATTATGTTTCAAATTGATGGCATAAAATGGGAGTCTGTGCTCTGATAAATGCATTTGAAAGTCAACTAGATGATTCATGACTGAAGCATCATTCATGTCTGTAGCACAAACGTTGAGTGTGACGAGAGGGCCGGGGCCGAGAGCCGAGGACTTCTCTCTTCCAACACTGTCGTCACTTTTATCCTTCCGGAGCTCCTCCGTGGGACTCGAGACCGGTGAGTGGTGCAGGTGTCGTGCATTAGCATTTACTCCACCGGCCTCGCTCCGTTCCCACGGCTCTCAGTCCCGCCCCTCTGGTCACATTGAGGTACGAGTTGCATGATGAAGTTTAAAACTTCATAGCTTTAGCAAACAGAAAAAATTACTCAAATGCACCTCAAAGTTTCGGTTTCTCTTCACTAAACCACACTCATGTCCCTCAAGATAGTCCAGCATGGGTCACATTGAGGTACGAGTTGCATGATGAAGTTTAAAACTTCATAGCTTTAGCAAACAGAAAAAAATTACTCAAATGCACCTCAAAGTTTCGGTTTCTCTTCACTAAACCACACTCATGTCCCTCAAGATAGTCCAGCATGTCACGACAACCATTATTTTCTCCCCTGTTTCTTCACAGGAACAGTATATTTCTGGAATTTACACTGTTCGGGAGTTTATTAATAGCTTCTAGAGGAAGGAAATGCTCCTGGGAGCCGGAGAAAAAGAAGCGTCAACTGCGGCGACAGTATTTGCAAGAGTCGTTGGCCCCCAGTGGGTGGCTCTACCTTATTGGTGCTGGGAGCTGAAGCCCCATCTTTCATGATCTCTCTGTAGCTGAAGGAGGAGATGCTACTGCTGTCACCCGTCTGCTGCGTACGGCTCGGCGAACTGATCTCAGACAACACCAGCTCCTCCAGACCTGCAAATGCATACATGACGCAAAAAGAGGAATATTTTAAGAGCATAAATCACCAACCGCTGTAGGTGACGCAACATAACTCAGTAAGTTTAAGCATACTAGCTTGCAGCCAGGACAAGCCTTTATGCTAAATGGAAATACCTGCATCAATTTCTAACATATGCCGGTAAGTATAAAACCATAAGAAATAAGTTATGCATTGAGAAGAACTGGTAAAAAAAATGCACTAAACAGCACACACACATGAAAGGTTGGCAAGTTGCTTTAAACTATATGCTAAGGAGTTATTTTGTAGCACTTATTATTAAGCACGTCTCATGTTTAGGGCAACTTGGATTGTACTTATTTACTGCAGCAGCTCACTCTGCATTATGTTTCAGAAGCTTTTAAAGCATCAATGCGTGTTGACATGAATGGTATTGTCTCATTTAATATCTTAAATATAATCAATATATCATCCAGTTCTAGTAACTATACAACAACAGTTTCCAGAAACAGGTAACCGCTATTATGATCAACAACAAGTTACTGCAAGGCAATTATTAGTAGGCAGCAATATCAGTACACTGCAGTCTACAGAGAGTAAGTACATAGGTCAACAAACACGGAAGCACTAATGAGAAATTTATACTAGCACTAGGCATGCTAACATATAGGCTATTTAGCAGAACGTCATTCAATAATACCTGCACTCACGGACAGAGAATCTACAAGGAAAACAATTCACACAAGTTAAAAGCCATCCATTTTATGTTGTATGCAACACACTAATGTTCAAAAGTGCGGGGTCGGTATTGAGCAAGGACAAATTAAATTGATCAAAAGTGACAGCAAAGACATTTATAATATTGAAAAACATTACATTTCAAATAAATGCTGTTGATTTTGATTAAAAACCCTGAAAAAATGAATTACAGTAACCACAAAAATATAAAGCCGCCATTTTCAACAATAAAAATAAGAAGAAATGTAAATAAGCAGCAAATCAGTATATTAGAATCATTTCATTTACAGTACAAAATACTTTTTATTTCAAATAAATTATGTTCTTTACTTGAAAAAAAAAATATTTAGAGCACCTGCCTCTCCATCCTTGTTGTGTGTGGGGTCCGTCCCGACAGGAGTTAAAGTTTTTAAGGAACAAACGAATGAATACACCTAAAAAGTTTCTATTAAGTTGAGACACTGTGTATTGATTTTGAGCCAGTATTCGACCACTGGACTTTTGAGTCGCTTATGTGGTCCAAACACTAAAATTTGATTATAAACACCATGGGGCAAAGGTATTATATTTTGTGTTCATGTCCTGTCAATATCACTAGTTTCTAAGCAGTACAACCCTTCTTCTCAAATCTATGGAAGCCCGTTTTTTCCGCCACTGAATAAAAAATAAAAAAAAGGTAATTGCGACTTTTTATCTCACAATTCAGACTTTTTTTCTCATAATTGCGTGATATAAACTCACAATTGCGAGTTAAAAAGTCAGAATTGTGAGATATAAACTCACAATTCTAAGAAATAAAGTCAGAATTGCGTGATATAAACTCACAATTGCGAGTTATAAAGTCAGAATTGTGAGATATAGACTCGCAATTCTGAGAACATATTCGCAATTCTGACTTTATATCTTAAAATTCGGACTTTATAACTCGCAATTGCGAGTTTATACCTCACAATTCTGTGAAAAAAAATAAAAAGTTGCAATACCTTTTTTATTTTTTCAGTGGCGGAAACGGGCTTCCATACAAATCTACTTTATGAAGACGTGCATTGCGAAAAGCACTATACAAATAAAACTGACTTGATGTCATATAAAACGGGCAGCTAAATCGATGAAAAAATGTGTTCCTAACTATTAAGGATTTTTTAAAAATTCATACTCCGTTTTCTGTGACGTTGACATGTATTGTGAAAATCACTGTGCAAATAAAATTGACTTGATATCATATAAACAGTCAAAGTCAACAAAATGATGACAATATTCATTTTTGCATGAACTACCCCTTTAAAAAATGTCTAGATATCACTGCATTATATAGTAAAATAGCAAACCAAAATATAAATACAGTATACATGGAGAAAACTATTTCACATCAACTAAACATTCTGTCCATCCATTTTCCCACAGCAGCACTACAAAATCCTTTTGTTTTTGTCGGAAGGAGAAAAAGAGGGGAAGATATATGAAATTTCATCCATTTTGTGGCCAAAATCGCTTTGAGTAAGAAGGAACTTCCCAGAGGGACTGCATTTGTAACCTAATAAACAGTGTGATTTCATGTTTAAAAAAGGTCTCTTACGCTCAACAAGTTTGCATTTAATTGATGAAAATATACAGCAAAAATAGTAATGTTGTGGAATATTATTAAAATGGTAAATAACTGTTTTCTTTTTAATAACTAATTCTATTTTATTCCTGTGATGACAAAGCTGAATTTTCAGCAGCCATTCCAGTCTTCAGTGCCATATGATCCTTATTAATTATCCTAATATTTTCCTAAAAATCGTAATAATTTCTTATTATTATCAATATTGAAAACAGTTTGTAGAAACCCTGATACATTTTTTTCAAGATTATTTGATGAATACAAAGCTCAAATAAACAGCATTTATTTGAATTAGAAATCTTTTGTAACATTATAAACAATCTTTTTTTAATTCATCTTTCGAAAAGAAATCGTACTGCCCCCCCAAAAATGTGTACAGTGTATGATGTCGGTTATGATGCTTTAAATCTTAGTATTAGTATACAATAACAACCATGACACAAGTAACATCAGAACAAGGTACGTCCAAACAAACTATCCTAAAAATATTCAGATCAGATGAGGAAACACCAATTTTGCAGCTCTGAAACACCCAGGAGCTGCTGGCACCAGATGCTCACACAAAAAACAACCTCATCCTACTGTTGAGTCATGCATCTTTCTTGAGTCACATTTGAAATTACTGGTGAGCTCCAGGGAAACCCTGATACATTTTTTTCAAGATTATTTGATGAATACAAAGCTCAAATAAACAGCATTTATTTGAATTAGAAATCTTTTGTAACATTATAAACAATCTTTTTTTAATTCATCTTTCGAAAAGAAATCGTACTGCCCCCCAAAAATGTGTGCAGTGTATGATGTCGGTTATGATGCTTTAAATCTTAGTATTAGTATACAATAACAACCATGACACAAGTAACATCAGAACAAGGTACGTCCAAACAAACTATCCTAAAAATATTCAGATCAGATGAGGAAACACCAATTTTGCAGCTCTGAAAACTGAACATCCCCCAGGAGCTGCTGGCACCAGATGCTCACACAAAAAACAACCTCATCCTATTGTTGAGTCATGCATCTTTCTTGAGTCACATTTGAAATTACTGGTGAGCTCCAGCGATCACACCCCCATAATATCCTCCATCTGAGTCGTGCCTTATTTAGCATCTTAAAAACACATGGTTCTCATCACACTAAAGAACAAACGCTCCAGCAGAGCCACTAGGAGACCACATAGACTACATTCTGTTCTCACACCTGTTTGAGTTTGCTGATTGTGTTGTTGAGTTCTTCTCTTTCTTTCTGCATCTCCGTCACTTGCTGTTTTACTGCCTCCACCTCTACATCTTTAGCCTGAGAAACGGTGGGGATACACATTGATTCATTCATTCAACTGCAGAGGACAAGTTCTGGACAGAATGAGCTGTATTTACTTCTTTAATACACAGATTTGTCAGTCCTGAAAAGTAGAATATGATATTACTGGGTAATATATAAAGTGGACCCTTTTTTCCAACCATTCTGTGTTTTCTTAAACGATATAAAAAGTTTCAGCCTGAATAAAACAATTTCCTTTGGTTATGTCAGCACAAAAGAAAAGATCTAAAGAAAATAAATTCTGTTCTCAAAATCTTTCATCAAAACAACTTCCTCTGCTTCTGAAATAACTTTTCTTTTGTGCTGACATAACCAAGACTGTGCAGGCATGGTAAAAAATAAAATTTAATGGTAATATCATATCCAACTTTTTATGATCTAGGTGGATAAAATCATATAAGGCCAGAAATGGACTGGCCATAGGACTTTATTTGTGGTTAAGGTCAGCAGAATCATAAATGAAATGCAATCAAATGTACTTCATCTACTTGAAAACTGAAAACCAAAGTAATTATATGAGATCTAACCTTGGGTTTCCATTACCTTATTGAGAAATTCCTAACTTTTGAGCACCTACAGATGGTAAACATGTTTCATGCATTTCATATTGTCATTTAAGCTCATTAAGTAAAATTCTATGTCAAGCAATCATCCATCAACTCAATGAGACGTGACAGAATTCTGATGTGTTCCTGAGATATGAATATGTATGAACACAACAACTGTGTCATATAGACAAGATCTGCTAAACATAGCTTTACCGCTCATTACTTCATCTGCTTTAGCTGACTGTTCTCTGTTAAGTGGCGTCAAACACCGAATGTGTTTTTATGATCGCATCCAAAAGTTTACCTCCAGCTGGAGTGTGTGATCTTTCTGTAGCCGCTGGATCTCTTCTGCATGGTCCAGTTTGTTCTTTTCCATGGTCTCCTGCTCAAACCACAAACAAATCACACCAATATCAAGTATAAATCACCCAGACATCCGAGAGTGACATTTTAAAGTATTTTTTAGTTCAAAATAAGCTAAAAGTGCTCTTATTTTTCCCATTTGAGAGTTTCAAAGTCTATAACTTTCAAGTTTGAAATTTGTATTTTACTTTTATATTTCAAACTTTAAAGTTACAGACTATAAAACTGACCAATGATGAAAAGAAGTGCATTTTTAGAGGATTTACTTCAATGGCTCAATTTCTTTTATAAGAAATTGAATTCTAACAATACATCCACTATAAATGCTCTTCACCATTTGGCATTGTGAAGTCTGTAACACAGTAACGACAAAAACAACACTGACATCATGTGGTCAGAATGATACTGATGTAGCCAGATGTAAACAACAAAAGACAGTTTCCATCTCTGACGGTGCTTTGCAGCGAGAGATGGCTGTAAACACACAGCACCTCTGCTTCCTTGAGTCTGCGCTCAAACCAGCCCTTCGTCCCCTCCATAGACTGAACCTGAGCTTTCAACTCCTCCACATACGGCTGAAGACCCTCCAGCTCTTTGGTACGAGCCTGAAAAAGAAGAAACACAATTGTGAGGAGAACTTTAGCAGATCGTTTTTCTCCAAAGTACACTTTGTACAATCCACTTGGAGAAACCTGAGGTTAAGTGCTTTGTTGAATGTTCATGTCTCAACCTACAAGTTTTCTCAACCTACACCTCACAAAGGTTCCTTACTCTCTCATCTCGTAGCTGTGAGCGGATCTCCTCTTCCGTGCGGTTCTTCTCCTCATGGAGGCCACGGAGCTCCTTCTCATAGCGGGCTCTGATGCTCAGCACTGCCTTCTCATGCTGCAAGCGCACATCGCTGAGCTCCTCTTTGTGCCGTGACTTCTCCTGCGCCGTCTCAATGGCCAGTTCATCCAGCATGACCTTACGCTTATCCGCAGTCTGAAAGAACAAGGTTGAAAGTTGACTTTCTTCTGATCAGCGTGATATTTATTTTTAAATAAAATGTGGTCATTTTAAAGCAGACATTATCAAAGATATTTTTTTTCTTGATTTTTTTCTTAACTTCAACAACTAACAGGTATTTAGACAGATCTCAATATCTCAATTTATTACTTTATATCGCAAAGAACATTAGAGACAAGCTTGCCTTTAAGCCTGTTGTCTTGCCTAAAGCTATGTCTGTCAGGTTGCATCCCAAAATCTTTCTTAGTCAGTTTTAGGATAATTATTTTTATTTAATTAGATTTATTAGAATTTTTTTTTTCTTTCAAGAATTAGCTAATTTTACACAAACAGGCATTACTGGAAAAAAAATAGAATGGGGGGGGGGGGGGGTTTTTT